TTATTTTAAGGGTAAAAATGCTCATTCCATTGGCAGATCATCTTATTTTCCTACCCAAATTTAAGGTAAATACACTTGTTTAAAGACATTTTTACTAATTTTCAGAACGTTTTTGCAGTGAATCTGTTGGGCTCTTCTTGGCATCAAGACAATTATTCTTATTGCCACATCAGAGAGGACATAAAAAAAAAAATGCTTAGTGATGATGAATAAAATCATTCCTGTTTGCTAAATTCAGAATGTTTCTCTGACTTTTACTAACTGGATGTGCTCTCTGCCTCCTCTGACATGGGAGCTGGCTCGGAGCTCGTCTGCCTGACTGTGTTTCCTGGACGGGGCCGCCATTTACAGCTGCCTTTTGTATCTCTGCTTCTGTCTCCTTGAACTCCAGTCGGCACTGAACCTGGTTCTGCTAGAGGTTTCTTCTTGTTAAAAGGGAGTTTTTTCTCTCCACCGTCGCAACAAGCATGCTTAGTTTGAGGGATTCGAGTCAATGAGTCGATGCAATCAGCTGGTTTTCCTTAGATAAAAAACTTTCAATAAATTTGACTGGATGATCTGGTTGAACTATAAAGTTCCTTGAGATGACATGTGTTTTGTCAACAATAGTATAGTCAAGCGTACTTGACTATACTATTGTTATGTATATGAAATATACCCTTAGCAAACAGTAGTATACTTGAAGTAAATTCTATTAAGAATACTTAAGTATAAGTTTAGAAAGTATACCGAACAATGTACTTTTAGTGTACTTGAAGTATTACTAAAGTAATACTTCTTAGGACTAAATTGGGACATTTTTAACAATAAAGTAAACAATAGTATAGTCAAGTTCACTTGTATATGCAATATAGTTTAGAATAAGTAAACTCTAAGTGCACTGCCTGATTTTAAATATGGAATTAGTGCACTTTTAGTATACTTGAATAAACTACTTTTTGCTAAGGGTGGCGCTATAGAAATACATTGAATTGAATATGAAGCAGGAAATTGACCAAAAACAGTCCTGAGAAGCTGGCCCATTGGTTAAGCACATCCTGTTTAATAAAAAACTTAAATTAAATCTTTAAAATCTATAAAAGAAAAATACTTTAGAAAATAAACTGACTATTTAAATGAATGAAGAACTCATTGATAGCAACACTCAGCAGCAATATTAGATTCTCAGCTCACTTTCAAAATTCAGACTAAAAGCATCGTCAGATGAATTATTTCAGCAGGATCAGGACCTGTCCGAAATCTTTTTAAAACAATGGTTCTGTCATATCTGTCTTGCAGAATCGCCGTGTCATCTCAGACAAGTCAACCTACCTTAAAGCCTGTTGGAGGGCTTTAAGACTCCATCGTTACATTTTAAGTAAATATAAAATAATACATTTTGTACATTTTGTTCGTTTCACGTTCAGATTTTTTTGGCTTTGTAAATGTTTTAAATATGTATTTTCTGTTAAAGGAACCAACATGTGAATTCATGCAAATATTAAATCTTTGACTCATTTATCCATTTAATAAACAACCCAAACCCGATGGAGGCTCATAGTGCAGCAGCAGCGTGGCCGACGTGTCAGAGCCTAATAGTGTGTGCGTCTACATGCCGTGCATTTATTCAACCTTCAGCTGATGTGTTTATTTCATTCTAATGATTTTATTAGTTTTAACTGGATTATGGGCATTTCTGGGCTGCTCAGTCGTAGCACTGCTGCTTTGCAGCAAGAAGGTTCTGGGTTCGATTCCCGACCCAGGGTCTTTCTGTATGGAGTTTGCATGTTCTCCCTGTGCTTGTGTGGTTTCTCTCCGGGTACTCCTGCTTCCTCTCACAG